TATCCCGGGTTCCATCGTTTTCTTGTTCAGAAAGATGAAGAGGAAGAGACGGCAATAAGAAATTGAATTTCAGCTGTATATGTGTTTGCCTTTTTTTCTTGAGATCTTATCGTAGCAAGCGATTAATTTACCCCTTCTCCCTTTCTGATCATCCTAAGAAAGAGAGTGGAAGAGGGACAACAGTCAAAAAGTGACTTTTGTGTGTGTTTTAATTTTTATCTCCTTAAGTTTCAGATTTCGTTCCTTGAGGGAAAAAATGTAATTCATCTTTATGAGCTACTTGTTCAAGTCTTTGACATACTTTTAGAGAGAAATGAGGGAGGGAGGGCGAAAGAGAGAGAGATAGAGAGAGAGACAGAGAGAGAGAGACAAACACACACACACATTTGTGTACTTGTATTTCTTTTCTTTTCTTCCCCCCTTTTCGCCTTCCTCATACTGCTATTCTTTCCCAGTGTGCGTTGATGACTTACTGTGTCTGTTTGAACATGGAGGTCCTTTCTATGTCTCTCTGTCGGCCACCTTTACATCTTAGATTTCTATCTTTTACGATATTAACTTAGGGACCATTTTCACCTGAGCACGCATTGTAGAACCAAACAAACTCCTTCCAACTGTCTTCCATACATTTTCCGTGGGGGAGTGCTGCTTTTAAAGCTCATAGTGTATATTGCGTTCACGTCATAATGATTACTGCAGATGAAATTATATTGACCTACTGTCCAATAAAGGTCAAGGAATTCATGTTCATGGTCAAGGCAGTGACCCTACATGTACATTGCTCTGGCATAATTTGCGTCACGCTTTATTTTGTCAAAGATATAGAGTATGAGAGAGAGGGTTGCCATTGAGGTTTTAAACTTTCTGCTTAGCGTTAGGTTATAGGGTCAGGTTATAGAGTTAGGTTTATAGGGCTAGGTTATAGGGTTCGATGTTAGGTCCAGGGTTGAAAATTAACTCATTGCCTACGGGAAACGGGTGCCCCCTGTATTCAATTCTATTAGAATGAGAGAATTTAATAGTCAAAGGGTTATAGGGCTGTGGCTAAAAAACTCACAATTAGATACCGGTACCTGTTTCCCAATTTTCCCAGCCTTACAAAGAGTCAAGAATTTGGTTAATGTTTTTTGTTTTGTTTTGTTTTTTGGTTGTTGCCAAACTAAGCTTGTTTTATCGTGTGCCGCGATTTGAGAGTTCACGTACTGCGTGCATTGAATAGCTGCATGATCGAGCAGCAAATTTGTATTGGCTTTTTGGTACAGATTTACCGCGTATTGCCAGTTAACGCCTGTTAAGGGTACAGATTTCTTTTTTTCAAAGACATACCGTGCTAGAAATTCCTAATTCTTATTTTCAAATGATGGCAGGTATGGGATTTGTGTATAACAACCATCTTCCATATATTGTCCATTAAGTGCAGCTTTCAAAGGTCATGGTTTACTTAATGTCAAGACATCTACATATAAAGTGATATTGACATACACTAAAGGTCGAGCAAATTGCATTCTAGTGGTATGAGGAGGCTGAGAATTTAAAAAAGAATGAACTTGTTGGAATCTACTATAAATTCCCTGTAGTTTATATTGGCCTTTTTGCAAATCATGATTTAAAGAAAATTTATGACACCAACCCATGCTCATGTTTCATCACAGTTAGTCATTAAAAAGCCAATTCAGTTGATCTAATTTGTACTTTGAAAAGTTTGAGAACACAGTTGACTCTTCTAACCATTTCCATGGTACAAAACAGCTCAAGAATTTGATTGATAAACAAAGTATTTGGACTTCAAATTTCTACATTTTCTTTTAAAAAATCCAGTAACAGTTACCTCTAAAACGAGGTTGATATCCTTGGAAGATGTTTCATGCTCAACTAATCGATAAAACAAAGCTTTTCAAGGCAAGATTTTACTCTTGAAACTTCCTTTTTCAATTATCCCGAATTTGGTGGCCAAGAAGCGGTGAATAACCAATCAAGTCTTTATCTGTAAATATTCATCTGTTTGGAGCCAGAAGGGCGTTAACTCTTACAGTTTCGAGCAGAGTTAAAGGTAAAGACCAGTTATGGTCATGCGATTGCATTGTGAAAGAAACGTTGTGGAATCGATCAGAAAAGGTTGATCATCTAGCATCTAGCATCTGCAAGGTTCTGGAATCATCAAAATGATAAGAAATTTGGCCCATTCTTCGTAAAGTTACAAGCACTATACACAGAAAGATGTATATGGGACTACCCTATATCTCTCACAGACCATGAGAGAAACAAATTTACCAAATATATGAATTAGTAGGTGGTTTCCCGGCAAATTTTTTATCATCATGTATTAGTCAAAACATATTCTTTCACATGATTGGTAATGAGAGCTTCCATTTCATTTTTTTGAAATTGGGGCGTTTCCAATACTGGTCTTTACCTTTAATGCTCTCTGCATCTGAACGCACAATCAATCAAATCAATTGATCAATCAACTTCAATTTATTGTCCAATATCAGCAATTTGTTTTGCTCACATTTTACAAACGTACAGAGAATCAAAATAAGTTTACATACATAATACATCATATACTTTGACATAGAAATTCTCCAGAATATTGCTTTCCAGAAAGTTTTCTTACGTTATTATAAAACAAAATAAGTGAATTATTTTTAATTTGAGTGAACGGGATGGCCCGGAAAGGTTACAAAAATGACATTACAGAAATAAAGAAGAACGTAAAATTCAGGTAGCATTTTGATTGTATTTGCGGATCGAGAAAGGAGAGGAATTTAGAAAACATTGAGTGCTACAATGAAACATACATGTATGTTTCTGATGAAGCCCTGATGTTGCTTGTTATGCTAGTACTTCAAAAAGGGTTTAATTCAATTATACTTGAGCAGTCCCTATCCAAATAAAGAAGAACGTAAAATTCAGGTAGCATTTTGATTGTATTTGCAGATCGAGAAAGGAACCAAGGAATTTAGAAAACATTGAGTGCTACAATGAAACATACACGTATGTTTCTGATGAAGCCCTGATGTTGCTTGTTATGCTAGTACTTCAAAAAGGGTTTAATTCAATTATACTTGAGCAGTCCCTATCCAAATAAACAGTGAACCTGTCATCTATTCTGTGTCGAGGCTCATGTATAAATCTTGTTTTTATTTGACGTTTCCCTCCGGCTATGTTTATACATGTTGACAGAATGGCAAACATGTTCTTGTGTACATTTCATCGCTTTGAGCAATCCGGAGGTATCATTTCTGGGTATAGCACAGAGGCATAGCAGGAGCATTATTAAACAAGTGGGAAGTTGCACAAAATTTTCTTAAGAGAAAATAATATAACAGAATAAAAACACAAAACAAATAGTTTACAAACAAAACAAAATATAACCAATAAACAAAATAAAAAACAAAACAAAATCAGACTGCACCATTGTACTTTGGTTAGAGAACGAGAGAAAAAAGATGGAAATTTGGCAGTACCCCCCCCCCCCCACGCCCCCTCCTGTGCACTTGTCTGGGAGCTGAAAAGGGCATTGTAATTGTCTTTTCTAGATGATGTTATAGAGTGAGCCATTTGCTAACTGATAAATTTTTCCCTAGTTAATTAAAGAATTTAGGCCTGTTTGAAAATGAACACTGCAGCATTGGTTTTTGTGTTTTGTTTTTGATAATGATTGTTACTCCTCACATTTCTGTATCATAATTAACATGTAACAGACAAGTAGTATTTCCTCATCTTTTTTGAGGGTAGCTACTTTTTTATTGCTAATTTTCATTTATTTACACATGAAAAAAACACAAAAACATGCTGTGGTGAACCGCCATTTTCTCCCAAGCTGTGTCGACAAGCCACAAGTAGGGATTGCAGGGAAAATGTTTGATATCTGTAGTAGATGTGAACTTCATTTCTGTACAGAAATTCTCTTATTTTACCTTTGCCCTCTCTCCCCCTCCCCTCTCTCCCTTTCCCCTCTATCCCCTTCCCCTCTCTCCCTTCCCCCTCTCTCCCCTCCCCCTCTCTCCCTTCCCCCTCTCTCCCCTCCCCTCCCCTCCCTCCCATCTCTCCCCTCTCTCCCCCTCTCTCCCCCTCTCTCCCCCTCTCTCCCCCTCTCTCCCCCTCTCTCCCCCTCTCTCCCCCTCCCTCCCCTCTCTCCCCCTCCCTCCCCTCTCTCCCTCCCCCTCCCCTTTCTCCCCTCTCCTCTCCCCTCTCTCCCTCTCCTCTCCCCCCTCTTACTCCCCTCCCCCTCTCTCCCCTCCCCTCTCTCCCCCTCCCCTCTCTCCCCCTCCCCTCTCTCCCCCTCCCCTCTCTCCCCCTCCCCTCACCCTCCCCTCCCCTCCCCCTCCCCTCTCCCTCCCCTCTCCCTCCCCCTCTCTCCCCCTCCCCTCTCTCCCTCCCCTCTCTCCCCTTTCTCCCCTCCCCCTCCCTCCCCTCCCCCTCCCTCCCCTCTATCCCCTCCCACTCCCCCTCCCCTCTCTCCCCTCTCTCCCCTCCCACTCCCTCCTCTCTCTTTAACCCTATCTCTCTCTCCCCAAGTCTCTCTCTCTCTTCCCTCTTTCTCCGCTCTCCCCTCTTTCTCTCTTCCCACTCTGTCCCCTCTACCCTCTCTCTTCCCTCCCTCCTCCCTCCCCCTCCCTCCTCCCTCCCCTCCCTCTCCTCCTCCTCCCCATTCTCTCCCCCTCTCTCTTTCCCTCTCCTCTCTCTCTCTCTCTATCTCTCTCTCTCTTTCTCTCCCTCCCTCCCCCTCTCCCCCTCTCTTCCCCTCTCCTCCTTTCTTCCCCTCTCCTCCTTTCTTCCCCTCTTCCTCCCTTCTCCCCACCCTCTTTCTCTCTCTCTCTCCTCTCTCTTTCCTCTCTCTACCCCCTCTCTCTCCCCTCTCAGCCCTTTCCCTCTCTCATGACTGGAGCAATTATTTGTGTGACCTAATGTTTGATTACCACCCATATGATCACTCATCTCAAATCAGAATCACTTCTCCAAGCATTAAAAAAATAATCTTCTTTTACTGTTTCCAGGTACTTCTTGAAGCCAAGAGAAACAAGCAATGCCAGACATTCCAAGTCGGTCGGCTCATTACGAGTGAGAATCGAGTATCAGAAGGATTATGTCTTTCCAACGTCTCTTTACGAAAACCTCAGGGAAATACTCCTCACATCGCCAGAAGTAGAGGTAAAGTTCATGCTTACTTTCTGTAGTCGTGATAGCCTTTATAAAGTTGTGATAACGTGGATGATTTTAGGGTTATCTTTACGCCATTTTGTGATTAATTTTTTTATACTATTTAAAGTGTTAATTCTGACGTTGATGTTGACCGAGATGATAATGATGATGATGATGAGGATGATGATGTTTCTCAAGATTATGATGATGAAGACTGTGATGGTGATGACGATACTGAAGAGGATGGTGATAATAAACATAAATAGTGATCATCGTTCAACTGTTAGTGGTGTTTAATTGTGTTTTTCTTCCTTCTTCATAAGCCAAATCTATAAACCACATTGACAAACAAATGTATAAACAACCACAGTACATACAGTATATACTTTCACATCCCTTTCAAAATGTTAAACAGTACCATTAAGAGAAGAACAAAATAATCAAAGACTTGAACAGACAGAAAAACGTTGGCAGCAGACTCGGAGACCCTTATTGGTTTGGAAAAGTGCTTTGGGGTTCAACAGCTCCTTACGCAGCCTGGGTGAACGATATCGATTTTCCTCCCCAATTTTTCTTGGGGAAACATAAAGGAGAGAAAAATATATAGGAGAGACAGCATTTTAGCAGCATTTGGAAGCACCCACTGTTCGTTTGGCCTCCAGAAACTGGCGTAATAGAAGTCTGTAGAAAACAGCCTTTTGGGGTTCAGCATAGATTTTTGTAAAAAAACGCAGGAAAGTGCAGGCTAACCTTCTTCGCATTTAGCATGCATGATATTTTCTACATTAGTTGTATTTCCTACTTTAATAAAGGAAATAAAAACCTTTGCTTTTTTATGAATATGTTGTACATGTAAATACAAAGGAAAGATTGAATTTACTACATCAAAAAAGAAAAATCTACTCAATACAAGTATGCTTATTTTTTTCAGCTATGAATGAAAATAAGGGAAATTAAATAAAAATAAAAAACTTTTTATGGTTCTGTAATTGAATTAACCTGCAGGCTACCATTTAAAAAGTATTCAAAGTATTTTTGTGCATGATAAAAGCCTTCAAGCTCTTGGTGAGGGGAAAATCTGATTGTAACCATATTTTTTCCTTTTTGCTTTAATATTGATTTAATGAGCTACAGTGTAAGTTTCCGGCATTGACTTGATTTTGTTTATAAATAGTTGTGAAACATCTACATGTATTTCAAAAATAGTCTTTTATATGATGGTTTCTACAGTATATTTTTGAACAAAAGGTGATACCCCTAGGCCATGGTCATTGCTTTCTATATTTTGCCTGCTTCTTTGCTAAAATAGCAAGGATAATTTTCTTTCCGAAGAATTTGTATACCTAATCTAATTTACAGAAAGGTGAATTTCAAAAGTGCATAACTATATTGTAGATACCGGTTTTCAATGTCTGTCATAATTTGATTAAGTCAAGAAATTGTCTCAGTTCATTCAAGTATCATCGACTGTATGCCTAAAGCTAAACACCCACTCGAGCAAAATGATTGCGAGTTAGATTTCAAGGAAGTGTTTCAAGTCGAGCATGGGTTTACTTCAAACACCTACGTACATGTACATGTAGGTTGAGATTTAATGCTTCACCTTGAAGGTACTAACTCATGTAATCCAAATGTTTTATCTTTTGAAATTAATTATACTTCCTTCAGTTATTGAAAATTAAGTAAAATTGTACTCTTCTTTGAATTACTAAATTTAACTGATCTAATTAGCTTGCGTTTTTTCCCTAAACTTCACTTGTTTTTAGAAATAGATTTAGGCATTTTTTTTAACCAAGCCATCAAAATGAGATAGTATTTAATTATAGCTTGTAAATATTATTATAAATGGAATCTTTGTTAAATGTTAGTAAAATAGACTACTCTTCATCAATATCTTTTGATAATTTAAATACATTACAGCTTTCTCTTGACTTGATTGATTAGTGAATTCTCTAAAATTCTCTAATTATTTGTAAAACGAGATCTGTGCTATTAAAATCAATTACATCAAGCTCTTTTTGCCAAGATCTTGTTTCCAAACAGACCAGTTTAGTGGTGCAAGTTTGCCCCTTTTTGATAAGAGGAATTTTCCCTGAGCACATGCTCATCATGCGTAGATTTGATTTACTTAAAACCAAACTGCTCAAAAACACAACAACAACAAAACTAATACAATTTTGACTCTTAGAATTTTTAAAAACAATTCTCATTCAATAAATAAAAATCTTTCATTAAAAAAAAAGTGAAGCAGAAGGGGTTAAGGCAAATAAAATCTCTGCTATAAAATGAACTGCATTCAAACTACTTTTTGCCAAATTCTTGCTTCCAAACAAATCAGTCTTGCCGTCCAAGTTTGCCCTTTTTGGGATCGGAGGAGTTCTCCCTAAGTGTAAAATCTCTGCTATAAAATGAACTGCATCAAACTCCTTTTTGCCAAATTCCTGCTTCCAAACAAACCAGCCGAGTCGTCCAAGTTTGCCCTTTTTTTATCAGAGGAATTCTCCCTGAGCGTATGCGTACCATGGGGGACTGGTCGACTCATATTTCACTTTATCACCTCCACTAATATTGCATTATCAAATCAGGATGCAGATGAAACGAAGAAATTTGATCAAGCGCCCACGTCCGATTCAATTACGGCTTTAAATGCGAGGCTCAAATATGAATCAAAGTGGGCAGTACTTAAATGACACCGAGTGGCACGCTGGGAAAATATGATGAAAGAGGTAAGGAATTGGTCGTCCAGTCAGAGCCAGAAGGGATGGTTCCTTGGTTGGTTACTATTTTATATTAAAACAAAAATCAGACAGAAAGGTAAACAAATGTACACATCAATTATTCAAAAATTCAGCTGGATCGCCCATTTCTTCCTAGCGGTCCAGAGGCATTTATGTATTTATATATATGAATTAATGCCCTTTTGGCTCTAAATGGTGGATATAGTGTCTATTATAGTGACGAAGCTGTATCTGAAATACATGTAGAAGGACATTATTGGTATCTTGGACTTTTAATTTGATAGATTCTGTGGCTGTTCATTTACATAACTTGATTACAACAACTTTTGAGAAATCAGCCTTGGGCATTTTCAGTTGCCTTGTCCGTGACCTATCGAAATGTGTGAATATTACAGCGATGTATTATGTCATCTGATCAGGATTCCTATAGGTAATTCAATAGGGTATTGAAATTGCTCTCGCGTTGATTTATCGAAAGTCTTCGCGATCGTATTACAGTATGTCTGTAATTGGAATGTAAATTGATTGGTGTGGGAATTGCAGGCTGAAGCCATGAAAATAGAACTTCGGAATCAGAGATCTTGGGTTATACTTATGCAAGATAAACCTTCTCTTTAAAGGTCTTTGAACTATCAAGATCGGCTATACTGCATACCAATATTGTCACACTGGAATTGGGGTATTAAATTCCTGTTACAAGAATAAAAGGTGATATTTGGAATGTTAAGATTTTAGTTCTTAACATGAAAAATGTTAATTAATTGTGTAGGCAAAGACAGGATATTTGATGATTCAATGAGTAATTGAGCTGTTTAATTTAAATACAATTGGCATGAAGCTGAATGTCAGGATGTTACAGAAAACAAAAATTGAAGAAAAGATTATAAGAAAGGATAGAGAAAAGGAGGGAAGGAGAGAGGAAAGAAGGAGAGGGGATTAAAGAGGAGAGGAAGGGAAGGAGAGAGGTAGATAATAACAAATTGTAGGGTATCTAAAGATTGACCGAGACAGAATAGATGAAAGGTAGACGCAGGACTATCTCAAAGGAATGAATAAAAGTAAGTTAGGTATTAAAGGAGAGAGGGAGAGAAAGATATAAAAAAGAGAAGAAGATTGTGAAAGAGAGAAAATGTACATGTATGTGTATGAAAGAGGGAGAAAGAAACAAGAAAAGAAAAAGAGAGAGAAAAAAAAAGAAAGAATAAGTGAGAAAGAGAATGTGACAGAAAGGAGCTAGAAGATTAGATGACAAACAAGATAAAAAGCAATTGTGCAAAAAATACTATCGGAATAACAAAGAGCTCTGTGCATTCGATTACCCAACGGCATAAACATTGTTGACATGAATGTGCTAGAATTGACACAGTTCGACTAATATTATTCCTGACAAGACAGAGAAAAACACCTCTTGTTACACCTCTTCTCTGTATTCTTTGCCAACATTGTTTTCGACCTGGGAATTCCATTTAAACGAAGCCTCCGTCATTCTCGATCAACGCTCATTTTCAAAGAAATGCATCAGGATGGTCACTTACCTTGCATAATCTCGACACGTTTGACTTTTTTTTTACAGAGGAAGCAAGAAAAATATGTTGATCGTAGGGAGTTGTTTTTCTAAAGAGGCATGTTCTGTCTGGGGGAGCCACGTCAAGTTTGACAACCCTACCTGCTGGCCATGAGGAATACTTGATTAAAGTTGTGGCACAGTGAAACTTGCATATAAAGACCACTCAAGGGAGGGAGACAAGAAGTGTCTTTGTAGGCAGGTGGTCTTTAAAGATACTATGTCCCTTTTGCAGCCAACATCAAATTCTGAAGAACTTTGCAGGAATTATGAATATGTGTTTTTTTGCCTGCTTGGAAAGAATACTGCCACCTGTGTTCACAGAATGTAACATACAGTAGTTGTGTATGAATTATGATTACATAACTTTCTTGACCACGTGTCCAGCATTCTTCCCTATATATTTTACAGTTTTTGAAATATGACTTTTATCTGCCCACCGCGCAGATAGTATCTCCTTACTGGCTTATCGTGAAGAAAAGTTTAGTGCCATTATAATTTTTTCCTGCTTGCGAACCCTCTGTTATTGTGGGTTTTGCAGTGTTTGTGTAGGATTCTATCACCAAATAGCCATAAGCATGGAAAGAACTTTCAACTTCCAAATCAAATCATGTAAGTGTGTGTGATGGATGCATCGTACTTCTGGGCCCCCATTTCACAAAACTTGTCATCAGTGACAAATGACAGTTTGTGTTATAAGCTAGTGAAATCCTTGCTTCTGATTGGTTATCAGCAGATTTGTCACTGATTTTTGTCATTTGTCATTGAAAAAAGGCTTTGTGAAACAGGTTCCTAGTGAGAGCTAAAATGGAGCGTGGGATGGTGGATTTGCGCCTATGTTTATGCTCAAGGTTTGAGTAGCTTTCGCACCTTTGTGCTAAAAATATGTTTTCATTTTAGGATGGTTTATTCATATTTGAGTTCATGTTCTGATTTTATACAGGTGTTTCATTTTTTAAAGAAGAAATAAACATGATATCAGAGATGCCAACTGTTCCGTTTTTGCCGTATTTGTCCCGTTTTTTCACTATGAATTTCGGCAGTACGTTTTTTGTATGTTTTGTTACGTTTTTTAATTTTTTTAAAATTTATTTATTTATTTATTTTATTTATTTATTTTTTTATTTATTTTTTTTTTTTTGCCCAAAACTGCGCACATTGCGAACAACCCACATGTAATGTATGCACGGCGCGCTCCGATCCGGGTATGTATACATGGTACTGCCGTTTTTTTTTAAGCTGCTTGATTGGGCGATATGTTAAGGTGAGAGATTTTTTCAAAAATACTGTTTTTTGTCCCAAAATACTGTTTTTTGCTCTTAAGAATACTTTTTTTTGTTGAAGAAGGTTGGCATCTCTGTGATATACATCATGATGATGGTGATGCTGATGATGATGAGTGATGAAGATGGTGATCAAAATGACGATGAGTGATGATGATGGTGTCAATGGTAGTGATACTGATCAAGATGATGATATTGGTGATGATGATGATGACAACGACGACGACAGTGATGATGCCAGCATTATTGTTGTTTTCCTCATCCGCTACATTTTGTGTCATTGCTGATTTGTTTTGGTCTCAAGATGAAATTCTGTATCATAGCGTTGTAATTGTATTATATTGTTGTATAATGCATTGTAAATTTATCACAAAGCATTTTAAAAATGAATACTGATTAAAAATACAAATGAAAGTAGCTGATTTGGTATACATGCAAAGACACATATTCTAAAGAGCCATTTTTTGGAAAGAATCTCTGAATACGAATCAATCATCTGGCATACAAATATGAGTAAACTGGAAGCACACATTTTCTGATTATTTTTGTCAGGAGACCTATTTCAATACCAAATCAACTTGGCATTTCACAATATGAATTCAAGATGGTGTGTAAATGTCACACGCCCCGAGGCACATTTCTTCCTGCCTTCGTAAACCTACGATGCATTTGTCTTTTTTTCCTCAACCCCCCCCCCCCCCACCCCCTCCTTCAAGAAGGCTGTTTTGTTCTTCATCTCAAATTGGCAAAATGGCAGCACCAAAAAGGGAATTATTGGTTTGTTCTATTTCTGATGATGTTGATGAGGATGTAATTCACATCATGTCTCCAACTCCTGAGGAGATGGGGTCAACTGCTACATGCTTGTGGAGAATTTTGATGGGCTACTGATCAAGTTGATATTGATCATGATAGTAATCGTCAGAATAGCTTCAATTGTATATTGCCCACGTATCCGTCACATGAGAAGCACAAACTGCCAAAGAAAGTACTGCTATTCCCTTGGCTTTAGCCATGCTATCTAGAGAACTCAAGGGATTCAAGAAATGTACAGGGTGTATTCACTATTTCACTATCTCACTACACCTGGGTTAAGAGTGGCAAATGTAGATTATTGTCCTCCCAAACAACATCTAGTATATGAGAAGATGATTTTGAGACCAAGACTTGAAGTTTGAAAATGTATTTCTTTGTTCATGTTATACTGTATATTAAGAGTTGTATATTTTACAGATTATTCCTTGATTGGGTATCTGAAATCAGATTTAGCATCCTGTATGATGATGAAAGAACCTTTAAAAATACCAATAAATTAAAGATATTTTTTATCTTTGAAACTATATATTTGAAAACTTGTATATTTGAAGAAAAAGAAAAAGAAAAAAATCAAGTAATCTTCAAATGTAGCAGGGCAAGTCAATTCAAACTTTCAGTACATGGACTTTATATTGATTTCAACTTATATATTGGACATGTTACCAATTAGCTGTTGACCTTTGAGTGTTAAATGCATGTACAAGTACCGACAGTTTCAACAGTATTTGCAGTGCCCTATCTGACATTGTCGAAGCTAAAACTCTCATATGAGTAAACTTCCTGAATATGTTATACATGTATGTAGAGGTGTTGTGGTCTAGTGGATTTGAGTCCTGTCACAGGGATAATGTCCTTTGGCAAGACATAAACCTACATTTGCCACTCTCCACCCAGGTGTTGTAAATGGGTACCGTACCTGTCTGGAAGAAATTCCTTGATTGCTTATCATGGTAGCTTGGCTAAAGCAGAAGTAATGATTTGATTTGATTGCAGGGCCCTCAGGGAGAGCAGTATTATTACTAAAGAGTCTACCCTTGGTAAACAAGGGATATTATTATTATTATTATTATCAATTAACATTTTGTTTGTTTGTTTGTCCTTGTGTTTCTGACCATTCAGCCCACAACGTCCAGTGCAGTGTACATTCTTGGGGAGTTTGTGAAGGAGAAGATAACAGCCGCCAGACCGCTGGTCAGACTCTTCCATCACTATGGTCAAATTCTTCCCATTATCAGGGTACTGGCCGAACACGAAATTTCAACGACAACGTGAGTATTTTTTCTTCCTTCTTCCAGTGCAGTACAGATTGCTGATGGCATCTTATCGTAAATTGCGCTTGTCAGGTACCGAGTATGCAGTGCCGGTGAAAAAGGCTCAAAAATAGAACTCTGAGTGCAGCTAAAAACAGACTGAAGCTTACATTAAAGTGATTGGGTATCTTTGCCTCAGATTCTTAAGAAAAATCCTGGATTTAGGTCATGCTGTATTCATAATTATAAACCTGACTTTTACAAGCCTATCGTCTGTCTGATTATCAAGGTATTTATGATTAGAATTAGAAATTTCAAAAACCGTTTTCCCAACAGTTTTTATAACACTACAGTCTATTGGGGAAAAGGAGTATGGCAAAACCGGTCACTTTTTTTAGGCAATTTTTCTAGGGCTTCAATATTACACCATATCACAAGACAGTGATGTCACCTAGGGCCATGCATCTCAGATTCATAAAACTTGAAACATTGTTAAACAATGCCTTTAAGAGCAGAGCTTGATATGCTGCACCTTCTGCTTGAAGATTTCCAAGGAGATGCAGTTGATTGATGACAGTAGGAAGTCAGGAGTTCCACAGCCAATCTGTATCTTGTGCATTGTAGTTTCCATGGCATGTTGATTCCAAAGACAATGATGAAAAGCAACTGATGCAAAGGTCCTTTTAGAGTTCAATATAGGCCTGTCCTCATCAGACCAAAGTTACAAAATAACCCGCTATTTTCAGACTCTGGATTTTCCCCAAAGTTTCGAAAGTGCGTCCTCACCAGACCGATATGGTCTTCACAAACTAGCTCGGACAGGCACAAATAAGCCCGGTAGGCTATTTTGGAAACAAGACCAAGATTTCTTGGGATACTGTCTCGACCAAATAGCCCGCTAATTGCAACTGTGGACTGATGAAGGACGCAAATTAGCTGTTTAATTTGAGATCGGGCTATTTAAAATAGCGGGTTATTTTGAAACTTCGGTCTGATGAAGACAGGCTTCATGTAATTTTGCCCCATATATGAACATTTATAGACTTCCATGGAAGAGTAGTTCTATTACATGTACGTACATGAATAGTAATAATTCTGTTACATCATGTGGTTACAAGATTAGGTGAGCATCACTAGAAATCCTGCGGAAAACATTGCTAATAAGTGCATTGAAAAGAACCCATGGATTATTTGTTTGGTGGGTCGCCATGGATTTGTATCATGCTACATTTGATGTCGATTCTGGATTCTGGATTTGACATTGGAGCAGTGATTTTGTGCATGGTGTGATCTGGTTTTCATGGTCGCTTATAAATTTTCTCTCTATTGCAAAGAAGTTGGAGAGGTTTTGATTTACTTGTCAAAACCTCATTTACACATGCCAATATATTAAAACCAACAAGATGGAAAATGAAATCTCATGAGTGAAGTGTGCATTAAAAGTCGGTATGTCGGAGCTAGAAGGTTGTTGAGTTTGTATTTGTACTAATGCCTTTTTGGCTGCAAACATACAAAATTATTCTATAACACATGAACTGCAAAGTGGATATGGTATAAGGTCCTTTGTTTCTTGTTTGTTGTATCACACTTGTCACCTGTTGTCTTTTAGCTTTGGAAGTTGTTTTGAGACAGTTTACAGCAGGTTGTGTGAACAAGGCCTGATTATTTATTTATACATATATAAAACGGTTTACTGATTAGAAAGCATTTGCAGCAAGATGGCCGAATTGCAGACTCTTTTTTCACGATCATAATTCATGATAGATAAAAAAATGGATATATAATTTAATAATATTACATTGATAGGAGTGAAAATGCGACATTTTTGACAAATGATAAGATCCAGGGCATCAATCAGGGTTTATCATGATAAACATCAAATAGTAGATGCTTGCAAATGAGCCTTGAAAGAGCAACCTTTATCATGCAAAGGTGAATACCACTTTGTAGAATCACTTCATAAACATAAAGCAATATTTGTATGATTATGGCCGATAGTTTGAGGCAGTTTAATGTGGTATGTATGAACAAAGCTCAACTATTCAACGGTCAAAACAGAAGTTTGAGAATAGAAGGGAGCCTTGGAGGAGGACGACAACATAAAGCGACCTTCATCCAGCAAAGTTCAATACTGCCCATAATCACTTCATATTAGCAATATTTGTATGATTATGGCCGTTGTTTTGAAGCAGTTTAATGTGGAATGTATGAACAAGGCTCATCTGTTCAATGGTCAAAATAGAAGTAGAAGCTTAGAAGGGAGCCTTGGAGGAGGATAACACATAACCCGACCTTCATCTTCAAAGATCGATACTGCCCATAATCACTTCATATTAGCAATATTTGTATGATTATGGCTGTTTGTTTGAGGCAGTTTAATGTGGTATGTATGATCAAAGCTCATCTGTTCAATGGTCAAAATAAAAGTAGAAGCTTAGAAGGGAGCCTTGGAGGAGGATAACACATAACGCGACCTTCATCCAGCAAAGATCAATACTGCCCATAATCACTTCATTTATTGAGGGATGTATTGTTTGGATGTCATGAGAAGACGGCCGTTATAAAGTTCTAGGGATACAAGCAATTTACCTATTCAAGGGTCGTTAAGTTCGGTCTGTAGACTGACGTCAGTACGGTATAATATGTTTAGGATAGAGTAGAGGGAAAGAGAGGGAGAGAAAAGGAATGAAAGTGAAGTAGGATCAAGGTAAACAAATACAAATCTGAAATGGATGAGAGATGAAGATGAAAGACAAGAGGGAGTGAGAGGAACAGGAAAGAAATATGGGCAGGAGAGGGGAAAACCCCTAAATTGTTATTTGAATATCTGTTTATCAAATTTAACTAATATGAATGAAACAAATTTAGAGATTTTAGTGATTGTATTTACAATTAATGGTTCTTATTCAGGAGTGGAAAAATGGATTGCATTTAATAGAAATGACTCAAAATTGTCAGTGATTTTTGCTCTTTCAACAAAAAATTCAGTAAAGTGCTATGTGTTGAAACTGACTGAAAAGATGGTTGGAAAGGAAGGAGAGATGTCGAATCAATACGGAAATGGAGCTTACTTACGCAACTTATCGCCGTGGTAATGCAATCGGGGCGTGGGCGGCCATCAGATAGGTGGTGGAGACTTCATTTGTTTGAGGGTTACCGCGTCTTCTTTGTCTCTTCGTCGATGGTGGAATATTTATTCCCCCACATTTTTATTCCCTTCCTGCCGAGCTCTTCTCCGTCGTATTTGTTTTCAATTCTATGAGAGAGAGAAGCAAATTGGGTCAAAGGCTTCAGAGAAAAGAGATGGAGAAACGTGTTTACTTTTCTCCATCGTCTTCAGAAGAAAAAAATGGGAATTTATCTTTTGGAAGGATGCATGTATTTTGTTAAACTTTTTTTTCTTAAAGACTTTCATCCAGCTAATTTGCTCTCTATAGATGTGGAGATATGAAGTGTTATCAAGTGTGTGTGTGTGAGAGAGAGAGAGAGAGAGAGAGAGAGAGAGAAAGGAGCAGCGAGCACTTTAGTTCTTACGTGCTCCTTAAGAGCTGTGATACAATACTGAAATATGTTTAATAAAGATATTGAGTTGAAATATCTCGGGAACAATAACAAATCCAACAATTTCATTTGAAACCCATTCAGGTTTTGAACGGTGTTTCCCCTTGATATTCTACAGGTTGTTGCAGAGAGAGAGAGAGAGAGAGAGAGAGGGGGGGGGTGGAGCAGTGCAAGGTGAAAGAGATGAGGATGAGAGGAAGATTGTGAAAGGGAGAGAGACAGACAGACAGACAGAGAGACAGAGAGAGAGAGAGAGGAATATTATGAAAGAGAGAGAGAGCGAGAGAGCAAGAGTGAGGGATCAGGGTGAGTGTCTGTATGTGAGAGAGAGAGAGAGAGAGAGAAAGAGAGAGAGAGAGAGAGAGAAAGAGAGAGAGAGAGAGAGAGAGAGAGAGAGAGCGGTGGGAGGGAAAGAGAGAGGAGGGGTGAGAGAGATGTAGGTAGAGAGAGAAAAAAACGTTAGAAGTAGGAAATGAGAGTTAAATGCTGAAAGACTTAGCCTTGGACAAAATTGTATCGATTTCATCTAATGGACGAGCCCCCAAGGAGAAAATAGCGGAAGTGTAAATCTTTTCATGGAATTCATTGCACTGCGATTTAGGGTCAAAAGATAGGAAACCATTGAAATACATGTACTATCTGTCCATTTAGACCTATTTGTCACTTGCTCAGTTTGCAAATTGAGTTTCTTACTCTCAGCAATATCAACTTCAATAACACTAAAATCTATTTCAGATATACATGGTGTATTTTTTTTAATAGCGCTAGTTAGTAGGGTTAAAGAATAAAGAGTGATCCAATATTTACAGCAATTAATTTTAAGATGAAAAACCTGAAAATAAATTAATAAAAGAAAAGGCATGTATTTAATAACGTTGATTACTGAAATTTGATTTCTAATGGTTAAAATCACTTTACAGAGTTGAAATTTCAAATTGGTGAATTGGGTATGTCATTGTGGTGCCACATTGTATGTATTTTAACTGTCCCATTTATTCCCACGAAAAAAGTCAATGCAATCTAATTTACTTTGCGTTACACGAGGCAAGATGTACATCCCTTTCCTCCTAAGCATTCCATTTCGATGTCTCTATTTCCAGGGACCCGCACACGATATTCCGGGGCAACTCGCTGGCATCAAAGTGCCTGGACGAGTTCATGAGGTTGCAGGGCCTCCATTACCTGCACGATGTCCTGAAGGGCGTGGTCGACGACATCTACGAGGAACGCAAGCAGTGTGAGATCGACACCACCAAGTTCAAGGACGGAGAGAACTTGGAAGCCAATCTTGTAAGCATTTTGTTCTTTAACTTTCCTCTTTTTTCTTTTTTAATTATTTGTAACCTTCTTTATTTAATTTCCTCATATTTTTTCCTTAGCTACTTTCTGAAGCTGTCTTAATTCATTCTGTATTTTCACTTTTTGGAATTTATGTTCTCCTTTTTTTATTTCAAACTTTGCAATTCTCTTTCTGTGATTTTTCTGCCTTCATTCAAATGAACTGATTACAAGGGTTGGATTGCCCTTTAAGATTGATGAAGTCCTCATTTATTCTATCAGTGTTAACCATTGTCTGTGAAAGGCATTTCTGTGCTCTATAAATGTATTGTTATTAGTAGTAGTAGTATTACATTGTCACAGAGAATATAATAAAGGTATTTTAATGCCGCATCCTAATAGCAGTGGTTATGATCCAGTGTAGTATGGTTGCGGTTAGAAATCTAGTAACCTCATGATGTACTGCTAGGTCTGTTGAGATTGACAAGTGTTTCCTGTAATTGAGTGCCAGAAGGGCATCAACTCATATAGTTTACCAGAGATGTAATGCCCTTTTGGCTCTTAACCGATGAGATGACAGGTAACATTTTATCCATTTGTGGATCTATATTAAGCCCTATTTCCTGGAATTGTTTTCCATGTATCAGGTCAGCATTCATTATAGATCTATTACTTCCTAATGTTGTAGATAATTTGAAACCCAGTCATGGTTCTTAATCCTTTGCGAAACAGTAAACCAATTTTAATGCACTTTGCCCAGGTGAACGACGTAGTTACACTACGTGCAATGTGTGTGAATAAATCACCAGACTTCATGAACATATTGAAAGTAGCTGAAACCAGTTTACTGATTTCCAGCACTTTTTATCCTCAGGAATGGCTCTTTGTAAATTAGGAAGTTATTATTATTATTACTATTACATCCAACATTATTACTATTATTGTTTATTATTATTATGAATTGGATTATCATTGTTAATATTATTATAATTACTCTTATTATTATTATCATCATCAATATCATCATCATCATCATCATCAATATCAATATCATTATCATCATCGATATCAATATCATCATCATCATCATCATCATCATCATCATCATCATCATCATCATCATCATCATCATCATCATCATCATCATCATCATCATCATCATCATCATCATCATCACCACCACCACCACCACCACCACCACCACCACCACCACCACCATCATTATCATTATTATCATTATTATTATTATTATTAACAGGCCAATTTACAGCATTACATTGAGAAAGCGTTCCAAGCCATCGTGGGCTCGGCGGCGACGTGTCCTACTTCGATGTGCGAAGTCTTTTATTACCTCAAGGAGGCCGCCTCCAGACAGTTTCCTGGTAAGTGATAGGGAGAATGTAGAAGAGATAGAAGATGGAAAATGGAGAGAGAGAAAGAGAGAGAGAGAGAGAGAGAGAGAGCGAGAGAGAGGGAGGGAGGGAGGGAGGGAGAGAGGGGGAGGGGAAAGAGAGAGAGTGCACACGTGATAGAGAGAGAGAAGGGGAGGGGGGATGGGGAGGATGTGCAAAGTCTTTTATTACCTCAAGGAAGCCGCCTCCAGACAGTTTCCTGGTAAGTCATAGGGAGAAAGGGGGAAAGATAGAAGATGGAAGATGGAGAGAGAGAGAGAGAGGGAGAGAGAGAGAGAGAGAGGGAGAGAGAGAGAGAGAGAGAGAGAGAGAGGGGGGGAGGGGAAAGAGAGAGAGAGTGCATGTGTGATAGAGAGAGAGAAGGGGAGGGGGGGATGGGGAGGATGTGCGAAGTCTTCTATTACCTCAAGGAGGCCGCCTCCAGACAGTTTCCTGGTAAGTGATAGGGAGAATGTAGGAAAGATTGTGGAAGATGGAGAGAGAGAGAGAGAGGGGAGTGGTAGGGAGGGAGGGAGGAAGGGGGATAGAGAGAGAAAGAGAGAGGGGGGGGGGGTTTATTGGGGGATAGAGTGAGGAGGAGGTAGTAGAGAAAGCCAATGAGATGAAGTATAAGGACTTGCTGTCTGTATATACATGTACATGTAATGATGAGATGAAAATGGAAGAAAACAAGGATGAGGAGAAGGAGGAGGAGGAGACGGAGGGGAATTATAGGGAAGGAATGAAGAGGAGGGTATGGAGAGGGAGAGAGACAGGGAGAGGGAAGATGAGCAAGGAAGAGAAGTAAGAAAAAGAAGATGAGTTGTAGGAGGAGGAGGCTGTTCTGTTCTTCAGTTTATCTGTTAGAAGATTTGTCATAGAAATGTAGCAGTCGCTATTTACTACAAACTTTAATAGAAAAATGATGCTCATTTGTGTTTCTCACTTCCATTTTAGATGATCCTGATGCCAAATACTCCGCTGTGAGCGGTTTTGTTTTCCTTCGATTCTTTGCTCCTGCCATCCTTTCTCCCAGGTTATTCCACCTCAAGAAAGAAAACCCTGTAAGCTCAAGAACATCCATGTTCTTTTATTTTTCATTTGGTTCTATTCTGCCTATCTGGAGCAAGACATAATTGCCCCTTTTCTGATGGCAGCAATGCCTGACACGTTCTTATGTTTGCCACAAAAAGGGGTCAACACATTAGCAAAATTCCACTTTACCTTTTGGCTAGCTTTCATCTGTACTGTGCACTCCGATGCACATGCCAGCGTGGCACATGGAGCATTAATGCAAAGGAAATTTAAACAGGCTTACAAATGCCAACAAATTTATCCTTTGATTTTCTCATTTCCATAGGTTCCCGTAGACAATGTGTTATGATAATGAAGAATCACAAAAATATCAATCCAGCATAATTGTAAGGTATTTTGTTGGCAAGCTTGTATCTCAATTTGTTTTTTGGTTTATCTGCCGTTGCATATTTATATACAGTCAAACCTGCCTTAGCGACCACCTGTATAGAAAGACCACATGTTTTGTTTCCCTTGAAAATGGTTTCTCATTGAAACATCTCCTAAAGGAACCTGTAATTAAAGACCACCTGCCTATAACGACCATTTTTCTTGTCTCCCTGGGGTGGTCTTTATAGACAGGTTTCACTGTACTAATGAATATATAATGAGACTCATTTTTTAAATTCTTCACAGGATGAGTTGGTCAGCAGAACACTAAAGATGGTATCCAAGGCAATACAGACACTGGGGAACCATGTCAACCCAGACAAACTGGTAGGTTGGGGGTTTTATTCTCTATTTTCCTTCTCACATTTTCATATTATGTAATAATAAGAATGATATTAAGTGTTTATACTGCGCTAAATACATCAACAATGTCTCTAAGAGCTTTACAGATATATTATTACCCGGGTCATAGGTTTCAGGCTTGCCCGCACACAATGTATGCACATTCTCATTGTAATAGACCTTGAACCTAAACTTGAACCTAACTTTGAACTTAACCTAGAACCTGAACTTACCCCCGAACTTTTAATACCCCCCAAATTACCACAAAATTACCACTGAACTTACCCCTGGGTCTAACCATAAATTTAACCTAAAGCTCAATTGCAACACCCACTCTCACCCTATATTATCACTTTGACCAAACCCCAGTTTCAACAAAAAATTGTTCTTCATCTCCTTTGTCTTTTTTAATTTCTTACAGAGCTCTGTCAACATGAAAGAGGAGTACATGACCCCCCTCTACTCCAACATACTGGACAGAGAACACGTACAAGGAATCAGAAAGGTGCGCTCACTGGAGGACAATCCAACCTCTGGGCCCTGTTTCACGAAACTTGTTATCAATAACAAGTTACGATAACTGTTAAAAGCTACTGAAATCCTTATATTTGATTCGCTGAGAGCAAATTTGTCCTTGAATTTTGAAATTTGCTATTGATTAAAAGTTTTGTGAAACAGGCCCCAGTTCTATTTGTTTAATGATATCAACTTGCAAATGTACAACTTTTTCATTTGTTTACTTGTTCATTTAGTATAATAACTTGCTGTCAATGTTGATTTTCCTTTGAAATTAGGATTACTCTTCCAAACATGTTGCCGATATACCCCTTCTGTTATTTTTTTAAATCTCTTTTCCCCAGTCATTTATAAACCATTATGATAGTGAGTGCACAATCTGAAAGATGATCCTCACAAATCTGCAAAAGTTGCCAAACAATGAAAAACAATTTGGAATACCAGGATGTTCAATGATGGGAATATCAAAAACAATTTCAATAATTTCCACCAAATAATGGAGCATCTATTGTCCATATTTTCATTCCATTCAAAATACTGTAATGAAGTCAAAGTTGTATACATGTACAGTGTAGTCATGAAACGTAAATGAGATACACATGTACATGTACATCTACAGTGTATATCAAGATTGAGTGATTTTTACCTCCTTGGTGTGAAGATCTAGAGCGACAGCTATACAGTGAACTTTAGGAATCCAGGCATTGAGCTTGATATTCTGTATTTTGCTTTCATAAGCCGTGTTTATTATGTTATTTAGGTGTTCAATTTCTATGTATCAAATCTAAATATTTTATGTACGTTGGTTTTATTGTGCATGGCCCTCAGGGATAGCAGTTTGTTAACTGAAGCGGCAATCTTGCTGAAATAAATCTGTAAATAAAATAAATAAATACATTTTTCATTTTCATTCAGTTTCTCGAGAAAGTATCATCGAGTAAATCCAAGACCAAGTCGATGGAGGCCCCAATCGTGTTGAAAGAAGGGTAAGACAAACGTTTTAATTTAAAAATATTTTGATCATTACCAGTGTATTAGAAGTACACATGTACGATACAATATTTTGTTTTGTTTTTGTTTTAAGTTATTTGGGCTTTTTTATTACACATGTGTATGTATTGGTCCTATGGGTTACTTCAAATATTCTTCATATTTTTTCTTCTTCCGTTTTTAAAGAATAGAGTTTGCATGATAGATTTCTTGTGTTTCTAGGAGACAACACAAAAGATTCCCTATTCTGAAAGTTTTGTACATGTGTTTAATTTACTGTTGGATTGTTTTGGTGCTAGGTAAACTGATTTAATTTTGTGTATCCTATGTTTGACGAATTGATTTCTAATGAGCTTAAACTCAGTTGCCTCTTCATTTTGTCTTGTTTGAATGAAAACCCCATCATTTTGAATGTATTCCCACAAACATGTTTTTTCTTCAACTGTATGCACTTTATTACCGGTAGTCGCATTGCACTAAACATCAGTAACTTCTTATTTTATGCACATATGCATGTTTTTAAATATTATTTATATTTATTTTACATGCTATCTACGTTGTTAGGTGTCTGGAGTAAGCTGTGTTGTGTGCTGTGATGTTTTTGAGCACTGTAGTTTTTATAGAAATCATTGTATTTTTTAATTGAACAAATTCAGCTGCTGCCCCACACTATTCCAGTGTTGGAAGATTTGATAACAATATCTGATTTTAAAAAAAAAAATTGTTTTTGTTTTTTGAATCAGTATAGATTAAATTATTTTATCACCAAGACTACGAGTGTATTTCAATCATTACTTTGTATTCTTCAATTTAAAAGTCATCACCCTGCATAACCTTTTCTTTAATAGTTCTGTTCAAACTTTGAAGTTGGTTTTGTTGCACAATATTATTTCAAAGACTGAAATTCATGAAAGAAGATTAGATGAAAACCATGGTAATGTGTTCCCCCTTTTATTGGATATGAACTCATGAATCTAAACCACGGGTTACTTGCCTCCACCCCCAAAATAAAATAAGAATAAACTCTTTGTGAGTTTGGGCTAGAGTGTGAGTTTCATTGTCCTCTCCCACAATCTTTACAATCTCTAATAGTTCTAACTATTTAACATTTCTAGTTGTTTTACTGCGCTAATCACCATAAAACAAATTTTCATATTTAGTGTGCTGAAGTTTCATTATTATTAAAATGTAGATTGTTTATGTATGACTCACTCAGAGTATGTAAATAAAGTTATTGATACACAGTGGAAAATAAATATTCAAAATGTGAAATTTTTAAACACATTGCTTTGCAGACTCCAAACCAATTTTAAACCAAGTAAAAACCAAGTAAAAAATAGAGAAGTAAAAGATCACTCAAATATTTTCCTGAAAATAAATTGATTTATCATTATAAAGCAGTATTAAAGACAATAATTGTTTTAAATTAATTATTCAAAGATACATTATTATGTGTAAATCAAAGTGCAATGTTTGATTTAAAAGAAAAGAGACAGATACCTTTATGTTTTTAATACAAATTTGTATAGATATACTTTGTAATTTTATATTCTTGTAGGTACATGATAAAGAGAGCCCAGGGCAGGAAGAGGTTGGGTATCGACATATGACAAATATATGGCATTCTCTATATGACAAACCATTTCTATTTTTAATGTCCAAGATGGCGGTCTATTTTAATAGCATGATTTGAATGGATGTACCGGTAAGCGCCTTGAGCATTTAATGAGAATGGAAGATGGCGCTGTAAAACTCTCCTGTATTATTATTATTAATATTATATACTTTTGTAATTTTATATTCTTCTAGGTACATGATAAAGAGAGCCCAAGGCAGGAAGAGGTTGGGTATCGGTATGAAGAACTTCAAGAGGAGGTGGTTCAGACTGACAAACAGAGAGCTCACGTATTCCAAGAGTGACGGTAAGTGTGTAATTCGATTTTTACAGAGGTGTATCAATCAGATATGATTATTTACGTCTGGGGACTGACCTCGTCACCATCCGAAAGACGTGACTCAGTTTCGAACCTGGGTCACCTGAGCCAGTTTGTAGGCATAGACAGAGAGCTGAAGTGAATGTGCCGTCATATTCACTTTCATATAAATATGGTGTCTAAGATCGAACAAACAACCTACACGCATGAATTTGAAGCTACTTTTGAATTTAAAAGAAGAAAAAAAAACACAAGAAATTACAACATTTTAATACTTCTTGAGCTTTCTCTGCTTTTCTGTTTCCGATACAGCATCATCTTATCGTATTAGCTGTTATTTTGGCAAGATGATCCTGCAATGAAAAAATTAAAAAATTAAAAAAAAGGATTTCTGGTTTCCTTCTTTTGAAATGGCCTCATCTAGCTGTAGAATTATGACCCACTGCCCATGTAAACTGACTATCATCTCCCTTTAAGAGACCATTGCAACGCATCATGACCCGTAAAAGAATTGGATCTGTCACTTTTAATCTATGTTTTTATCTCGTCTCTTGCTTCAGACTGCCTACCGTTGTGTACAATACCCATCTCAGATGTACTAGCTGTGGAGAAGCTAGAAGAAGAATCATTCCAAATGAAGTTTGTAAGTAATCAACCAAATTCACAAAATAGTATTCCTAAGCACTTGTACATGTACACAAAGATCATTAATGCTTAATATTCTTTTGCAACTTTGCATGAGAAAAATTGTCAACATCATTTTCTAGCCTGCAAACTATAATACTTGATGAAAATGTGTTCTGTCGTCATTATATAGTGATGTCAGGAAGAAACATCAGCTGATTGTCATATCTAGTTATTTTGTTGTTGTTTGTTGTAGAGTTTTAGTGGGGGGGGGGGGGAATATACCATATGTGTGAACATAGCAGTAACACTGAATTTTCACTTTAATTTTTGCATGTAAATGTTGAGGGTCATCATTCTCTCTCATGCACAAGGTTTGTTGGAAGATCAGTCACCGACTTCTCCCACACTCAATATATACTCTTATTCATCTTCCTTTGCTAGATGTTCCAAGTAGTTCAACCAAAGAGGGCGCTATATGTCCAAGCCAGCAACTGTGTAGAGGAGAAAGCTTGGTAAGAAAATCTCATTCAAATACTATTTAAGTATAAATTTTTAAGTTTTAATTGATTAGATTGATAGTCTTTCTTCAAACGAATATATCATACCTTGTTACCACATCCAAAACTAACAGGCATTTTTTGTTTGTTTATATATTAATTGTTTTTTTTTTTTAATGGATTATAAATTTCTACTTTATATCAGGGTTGACATGCTTTCCAATATATGCAAGAGCAATCGTCATAGACTAAGCTACTATCATCCCGCTGCCTTTGTCAACGGTCATTGGATGTGGTGAGTGTTGTCGTAAAGGATTTTTTTTCTTCACATAGCAATCAAACAAATGTAGAAAGTCTATAAGGACAACGGTCATAATGTTTTTTTTCTTGTAAATTAGATAGTATAACAATTTAGATAGCCTTTTTACAAGGTAGATTGCACTGACCTATTACTGGACAGTTAATGATATTTCTTTGGACTACAGAAAAGCTTTTCTATTAAATATCTTGGAAAGTTGGTGACGTACAAATGAAATACCCATGAATAAAGTCCACTGATTTTGACAGTAGTTCTTGTATAACGTGAATTCTTACCGTAAAAGCTGCCATTTAGTTTGTGCACGTATTAACATGCTTGTGAAATGGAAATGACCCCTGCTGTAATGCTTGTTGCTTTCAGTTTTCCCCCTTCCCCCCCCCCCCCCCAAAAAAAAAAAAATAAAAAAAAATAAAAATAAATTAAAATGATAATAATAATCTGCCATAGAACTACAAATAATGAGATGAGGATGAGCTTAATTGCATCTGTACCTTTTATTATTTTCAGCTGTAAACTGCAGAATGAATCGGACAGGGGATGCACACCGGTGACAGGGTAAGCCAACGTCTTTATATCATCGTTGAAGATACTAAAACTTTTTGAGTTCTAATATGACACACTAAGTTGCTCAATTTCTATGACATTCGCTCTGACAACAATTGCTCTTTTCAATACCCCCACCCTAAACATACAATTCAAAGGCAGGATGTCCGTTTTACAAACAGGAAACTTGCTGAGTGTTTAAAATATATCCTTCAAATATCATATGTGAAATTTTACAGTCATAGATTCTGAAGCTTCTTTGTAAGAAATGAAAATCTAGAGCTGTTTTTGTATTGCTGCAAAAGGAGCTATTCTCAAATCATCTGATACAATGGTCAAATTAATTTGAATTACGTACAAATATATGTCAAGGCTAGAAAATAGATATCTAGAATTAAATATTCAAAAATTATTTGCAGAACGCCAGTTTTCAATATGTTTCATTTGGTGGGAGGTTCCTAATAATAGACCTTTTCAATGTATAACTCTGGATACATGGAACTTGAGCTTTGTAGGTCCGCAAAAGAAACAAATCATATTTCAACAGATTGGATCAAACCAAACTTGAAGAAATCCATGTAATTGAAGTGGAATAATACTACTACTAATAATAGGCATTTCTATAGCGCCGTCTATCTAGAAATTCTATTCCGAGGCGCATTTATTATTACCCTGGCTTTAGCCTAGCTGCCATTACAGCACTCTAGCATTTCAAGGAATCAATTCCTGCCAGGTACCCATTTACCTCACCTGGGTCGAGTGTGGCAAATGAAGATTAATGTGGCCCTCTGTGATCCTTGGTATTTTTCTTTGATATGCAGGGTCGTACCATGGAGTGTCACGCTAGACATTGATCCAGACAGGGAGATGGAGAGAATCTACACGTTATTCAAAGCCAACATTGCCAAAATAGAGAAACTTGAAGGTTAGTGTTGTTATGTCAAAGGTTAAAGTTCAAAGGTCATACCATTTTTAAAATCTCTAAATAGAGAAAATTAGTAAGTTATTCAAAGCCAACATTTCCAGACTAGAGAAACTTTAGGTGAGTATTCTTACTGGCTCAAAGTTCAAAGGTCATGCCGAGTCATACCACACCTAGTCTACATGTTATTCAAAGCCAACATTGCTAAACTAGACAAAATAGAAGGTGGGTGTTCTTCTGTCAAAGTTCAAAGGTCAATGGTTAGAATTCAGATACTTGAACTTTGTCCATTTGAGGTTAGAGAAGTACTACCTTTGGATGAAAGGGAACTGCAGATTTGTTCGCCTATTGTTTTTAAAAATCTTAGAGAATATACATGTATCGAAAATAATATCGCTAGTGATATTCGTTTATCTCGCAATGTATGGTTAACAAGGGATCTAAAACATCATGACGTTTCGTGCGCCGCTGCAACACTTCGGCGCACGAAACGTTGTGATGTTTTAGATCCCTTGTTGACCATACATTGCGAGACAAACGAATATCACTTGCGATATAATTTTCGATACTGAATCCGCAATGAGTAATATATTTTGCATAATATACATGTAGTTCCTAATGATCTAATTTCCGATTTCCTTCTCCAGATGCCTGCGCGTTACAAGCTGTCTACCAAGGCACGCGGTCAGAAGCCCCTCCCACCATGCTGGTGGAAGACTCCAAGAGCTGCTTTGAGACTGTCAAGGGTCTACTGTTCGAGCTGCATCACATAGAGGAAGCTCATGTCAACTATAGGACCTTGAGAGAAGAGACCAGAGAGTACGGGAGCAAGTAAGTATACCAGTCATTTCGTAGGGACTGTCAAGGGACTACTGTCAAAGTTACAGCATACAGACGGAACTAAGAAGTACACAGAACAGGGTTTGAAATATGGATACCATTGGCTAGTTGAGATTGTCAAGGGTCTACTGTTTGAGTTGCATCACATAGAGGAAGCTCATGTCAACTATAGGACATTGAGAGAAGAGACTAGAGAGTACGGGAGCAAGTAAGTACAACAGTCATTACTTTGGGACTGTCAAGGGTCTACTGTTCGAGTTGCATCACATAGAGGAAGCTCAAGTCGGCTACAGGACTTAGAAGTACAAACGGCACAGGGTTTGAAATATGGATACCATTGGTTATGTTGAGACTGTCAAGGGTCTACTGTCAAGAGTTGATGAAGCTCACTTAAGCCACATGACTAGGAGACAAGATATCATGAGAGTATGAAAGCAAGTAAACATACCGCCCTTTGCTTTGAGACTCACAAGGGTCTACTTTTAAGGGCTGTCTGTACTATTGTGGCTAGGAGGGATTAGACCTCCCTGCAAGGTCACTGACAGGTGGTTATCTCATCAACTCAGCTCCCAATTAACATAAGAAAAAGAGGATCATGGGTGACCAATGGCCACCTATTAGGCATTGTTTGTTATATAGAGGGAGCAAGTAGCTACAAGTGGTACAGTATGGCTTTAAGCAATGACTCTGCAGTCACCACTAAGGGAAATTTTAGTAATCATAATATCCTTTTATTGCCATTACCAAATTGCCCTGTTAAAATTCTGACCATAGTTATTTTTCTTTGTTTCATCTGTTCCTGCAGGCAAACACCGATCGGCGATGAGAACTTCAACAACTCCTTCAAATGACAACTAGCTGTCGCATTGTTTGGACTATGCCTGGTGGGACTGTACCATGTCTGCATTGCCTTTTGCCGATGAACAGCCCTCTACCAACATGGCTTCATTAAGGACATTCTTTGCTGATGTCGTTGAGACAGTGTTCCTTTACATAATCAGTAAATCCTTTTACACATTCGGCACTGTTTGGACTATACTTGGTGGGACTACTATTACAGCATCGCCTTCTGTATATGAACAGCTCTATGACAGCATGGCTTCTTCAAAGAGGAACATTCTTCACTGAACAGCTCTCTGACAGCATGGCTTTATTAAGAACATTCTTTGCCAAGGTTGTTGAGAAGTTGTTCCCTTTACGTAATCAGTAAATCCTTTGAAACAATCAGCATTGTTTTTACTATATCTGGTGGGACAACTATTTAAGCTTTGCCTGTTGGCAGCGATGAGCCTTCTGACAATATGGCTTCTTCAAGAAGAAAGTTCTTCCCGATTCCTGATTCTGATGAGAATTAGTTGAGAAGTAATTCCTTTTGGACAATTAGTAAAATATAAACTGTCCAGCTGTGGCATTGGTTTGAGAATGAATGGTAGAGCTGTATCACAATTGCCTTGGACCAATGAACAGCCCTTGGGAAGCTTGGTGTCTTCAAGAAGAAGGTAGATCCTCTTCTGCTTCCAGGGGGGCGTTTCACAAAACTTATCATCAGTGACAACTGACAGTTTTTGTTACAAGCTATTGAAATCCTTGCTTCTGATTGGTTATCGGCAGTTTTGTCTTTGATTTTTGTCATTTGTCATTGAAAAAAAGGCTTTGTGAAACGGGTCCCAGAAGAGTGTTCTTCATCAATACATGAATTCTGCTCGAGGGATATGGTTAGGATCACCTAAGGTGTGCAGAGTCCATCCTTTCCTTACATTTCACCAATGGATTCTACTAATATACAACACACTGATAATTCGGCTTCTTTGAGAAGAGCCATTCTCTGCTGATTCTGACGAGAACTGGTTCCCTTTACCTAATAATTTTTTTTTTAATCACAAATATTTTTGCTTTTGCGTCATGGCATCTACAATGTTCATACATATCTGTAGATGTGTAAGAAACGTTCGTCTAAGGAAGGTTGTCACCTATTAGTACACTGCTGATAAAGAATTAGCTCCCAGATTTGATTCTATTTGGATCAGTTACATCAACCCATCATCACCAGATGTACTCGCTCTACAGATTAGGATTAACGTACACCCTTGAAATATAGCTGAAGTCATTCATACGTTTAGTGGTATATTTCTGTCTAGGCTTGACATGAGATTTTTATATGGTATATCGCTGACTCTCCTTGTCACTTACTCGCACAAAAACAAAAACAAATATGCAGTTTTCTTTTGTAAGCACTGCCATGAGCAAAATTAGTCAATGGAAAGGAATGTACATGTATTATCTTCCAGGAAGGACCATTGCAGGGAGATCAATTATATTTTTTCCAATTTTAAATCAAACAGAAAGTGTGAAAAGAAAAAAACACACCCAGATCTAACATAGTCTGTTGAGATATTGAAATAGGTTCATGGTTTTAGATGTATGAGTAAAATACATGAAGATGAAATATTGGGTAAAAGGGGAAAAACTGAAATCCAATTGGGAAAGGTGAATTGAATCAGTATCCAGTATTTACAAAGCCAGTAGTAGAAGGACTTTATTCTCTGTAGTACTATAATAAATCCTCATCATCTTCATTATCTTAAAAATATGATTGTCATATTTAAATGGGAAGGAAAAATGAAATTCACTTGAATGAAGATGAAAGATATTGGAATCCAGTACTTAAAAGGACAGTAGTAGCATTTTTACTAGGAATGAAGTAGTACTATGATCATTGCAATCACAATCATTGTTATTACTATCATCGTCACCATCACCTTCATCATCGTCGTCATGGTTATTATCATTACCACCACCATGATTATCGCTGTCGTTTATATTTGTCGTCACAACCATCATCATTATTTTTGTCATTGTAATTGTCATCCTCACCACCCATATATTACCTCCACCATCTTCATCTTCATCAACATCATCATCATCATCATCATCTTCTTCATCATCATCATCATCATCATCATCATCATCATCATCTTCTTCATCATCATCATCATCACCATCTTCTTCATCATCATCATCATCATCATCATTGTCATTGGTGCTTTTGCTTCTGTTGCGTACAGTGTACTTGATCGGGCAGCTACCGGTAGTTAAATGGTTAACTATCGCAAAACTTTTCCTCCATGTGAAATAATGATTAACGCCAAACAGCAAATGCTATTGCAATACAGAGAGAGACAATAAATTGACAGCCAATCATGCACATGGTAATAAATATCCTAAGTAACTCATATGAAAGGCAGATGCTGATTGGTTTGTTGACTGATTTCAAATGGATAAAGAGAATAGTATATGATAAGCTTTATCATCTGACATCTTTTTCAACTCGTAAGAGGTGGATATACATGTACACGTAGTCAATTTTGTACTCTCATACTGTATCTACTTATAACATCCGTTTGGTCGAGGCTTTTACAGAAATATTTGTTTGGTAGCTCTTTTCTCTATTTAAAAAAAAAAAAGATGTCTCGTACTAGTAGCTGAGAGTCAGTACTATTCCATTGTTTTACTTTTTACCTTAAGGTACTGTATACTACTAAAATTATTACACTCATATTTTACTCTACGCATGTACTACATGTTTTTTTGACACATCCTGTTAACAAAAACTATCTACATTATCTCTTGGTGTCTCTTTTCATGATGATTTTTTATCAGAGCATGTGTGGAGGCCACAAACCATAAGATATGTAAAGTTATGCGAGTGTTATTGTTTGAATTGTGTGTAACACCTTTTCACCTCCTGTTCAGTGCTTGTTATTTTGCAAGTGTTTCTCATGCATGATTATGTAGGTTTTGATTTTCCAAGGGGGTATTGTAATTTATGTGTTTTTGTTCATTTATCATTTTCCGTTAGTTTATATTTAGTCTTTAGCGCCACATTTAGGAGTAGATTTACCCCCTCTCTCCTTTCAATTTGAGGAGAAAGCTGCAGGCAAAACAAAAATACAAGATTATCCAAATCTGTGCTAGATTCAAAGGTTATTCATTGATGAATCATGTTTCAAATCTATTCCATACATGCCAACTGTTCAGATTAAAGAGGAACATTCCTCTTTTTGGGAGAAGATAATTATCATTTTAATGCAGGTGTTCCTCTTCCTGTACAAATTTGTCTGTAGTATTGAATAGGAGAGTTAGGATTGTTCTTCTTTTTTTTGAAAATAGCATAATTTGTACAGATTTCTGATTTTCAAATGTTGGCATGTATGCTATTCAACAGACAGTTCAGAGAAATCAATATTTTTACATAATATGTCACATAAGGATATGTTTTTATTCATCTTTTGTACCACCACCACCAATACAATGCCTAATGATTGTCATTGCCACATAATTGTTTGTTTCCTTGTTTTTTAAGTGTGTGTGATTTCATGTTGTGTTCATCACCATTGCCATCATCATGATCATGGCCATCGTCACCATCACTAACATTATAATCAACATCATTATCATCATCACTTATTTTTTTTCCCATTGCCATCCATCTCATCCTCATTTTCCATCATGCACATGATCATTCCTTATTTTTTTTAAACCTTTTTATGATCATATTGATCATAACTGTATAATTTGATTTAATTAATTTTGCAATTGTTATTGATATTGTCATACAGGTATTTACCATACAACAATCATTTTAATCTTTAGCATTATTAAGTGTGTATGCAATCGTCGACTTCATTATTTTGTTCACTGTCCATTTGATAATGTTTATGCTATTCATTTACTGTTCATTTTAATTAAGTTCATCGTTATCATCACCATCGTCATCGTCATCATCATCATCATCATCTCATCATTGAGTGGGTATTATCAATCGTACATCTTTTAATCAGTTGCCAATCGTTCTTTAGCCAAGCTCTTGTTTGCTGTTTCATACAACAAACATAGCTAAACAATGAGTATGTATTATCATTTGTAAATACATAGAGAAATTCCTGTTTATATACATTGATCATGTATGAAATGTGTATAAAAATTGTAATAATGTCATAATGAACAGATTTACATATTATGATCACGGTTATGGTGATAATTTTTTTGTAAAATTTACTGTTTTCATCTGTTTTTATGATAATCAATCATGCAAAATATTTTGTTACCATATATGGCATATTGAATGGTGTAAAGTTGAAAAGACAATTTTATTCATTGACCTGGTGATACACTGTTTACATGTATGCTTCAATGAGTGAACTCAGTATTTTTTCCCCTTTGCGAGGGGGTAATTTGTTTACTTCATCTTCAGATGTAATAAGCATGTTTTGTGTTTCATGCATTTGCATTTAATTGATCATATTTTTTTCACAAAATAGTGCTTTTTCCTTTGGGCTGATGAGCAGCCTATGTCAAACATAATTTTGATTTGAATTGAGTTTAGAAAACAAATTTACAATTTTAATGCAATTTTTATTTCAAATCATGGCACTTTAATATCTTATTTTGTTCATTTTGTTTTTTAAAGTGGAGCACAATGTTTTTATGAGGCCTTGTTTTATAAGGTTTGCAAGCCACTTTTAGCTACTTTTAATTTGTTTCATTTTCGGCTGCAATGTCTGTCTGCTTTTGATTGCGGAATCAGATTTCATCATGTCTTTATACATGTATTTTATACACGACTGCTTATACATGTATGATGTTGGATGTAAGAAAGATATAATATTGCAAGATTATTTTGATGGTTACAAATTTTAGATATGCATTTACATGTACACATGTACCTCGGAAGTGCATGCTGTAAAAACGCACTCCATCGATAGCGATATTTTGTACTGATTATATGCTTACAGTGTATGTATTTACAAAAACATGGGCCATTTTTTTAATTTGCAAGTGTCTTAAGACATCCAAATCGTCCATATTTTTTTCTTTTTATCACCGTAAATGCCTTTAGATCATACTTAAGAGTATTGTTTTAACATTTACTGAACTTGGTGTTGGGCCTCAGAGATCCCCCCCCCCCCCCTTAAGAGTATTGTTTTAACATTTACTGAACTTGGTGTTGGGCCTCAGAGATTCCCTCCTCCCCCCTCCGCCCCAAAAAGGAATAGTATTGCATCGTTATCTCGGACATCTGACACTGTATTTTCTTCCCACATTTTGCTACAGCATACTTTATTATTATTTTTTAAATTCTTTTTATTTTTACTTTCACAGAATCACTTTAACGATTTTCATACTGTACATTTTCAGTAAGATCTAGATAAGGACATAATTCTATTACAGCTTATCTAAGGAATTTTTTTTTTTCAGCCTTAATTACACATGATGGCTCATTTTAAATGTTATCAACAGTTGATGGAAACACTCCTTTCTTCCATATAATACAAGAAATGGCAATTTCCGAAATGGTTTAACATCATGTCCAATTTTTGCGTGGCCTTTGCTCATACCATCATCCATCCAAATGAAATATCCATCCACTTTTATGCATGCGGGAGACATTAAGATCAGATAGTACATTTCATCAGAGTAGATTTCATCAGAGTATACATGTATATCACATAATCACATACCTATAGACTTCTGTCTCTCACCAGAAGCTATACATTCATGTTGTGACACCATAATACTGTTACATTCTGTTTACATGGCTGGTTTTTTTCTTTTTCTTTCATGTTTTGTACGTTATATGCACAAATATTTTGGCTATAAAGTATGCAGGGAACACTTTGTTTTTTTAAAATATTCCCAGGAAGGAATAAAATGATACACAAAGTTTATGCCTTTTTGGCTCTCAAAGAATGCAGTATCTGCATATCGCCAGAAGGGTGTAAGATTTTGTTTTGCTTTATACAGGGCATTAGAACTTGGTATAGATTTTTTATATTTTTTTAAATGTGTGTTTTTTAACTTTTTTCCTGTTAGGAGGCTTATTTGTATTTGTATTTGTAAAAAGCAGGGTCCCATGGAATAAGGACATTTTCCTTTGCTGTATTTGGCTTGCTCTAAACAGAAACAAAATACAATATGGTTCATGAGCAGTTTTAGCACCAACATCTCAAGATCATAGGGATATTGATTTTCGCCTTCAAAATGACACCTTTTAACTTTTGAGATTAAACTTTAGGCCACCAATCATGACCCCCTCCCCCAACCACCATTCTAAAGATGGAGCAACTCCTATTAAAGTTGAATTATTGTACTAAAAGTATATATTACATGTATGTTTCATTATATAATGAGCTTTTCCTTTTCAATTTGTTTCAATTGCCAGTATTATTCCATTGTTGGGGAGAAATTGCTGTCAGGTAATTCATGTCAGTTTACAAAAAAAACACACAAGTGTATGACTATTTTCAAGAAGCAGTTTGGTTATATTGTATATCATGTAAACATGCAAAAACAAATTATGCACGTATATTTTTTTGACTATATTCAACTACACTCATATAGATGCTTCATATTTATACCATGTCAACAGCACTATGTCCACCAAGGCAGATTATTATCATGATGTTGTACTAGATGTTTATACATGCACACTGGTCATATTATTGCCTACCACACGCTATATGATCTTCCTTCGATCTGATTTTCGAAGAAATGGCAGTTATATTTTGGCTTGTTTGTTTGTTTTACCTGACTGCTAACTTGCTAAGAAAGCATGTGTATGCTTGTAAGTAAGCAACCAGGGGATGAACCGCTGTATGTCCTCTCAGAGGGACTTGGTTATGCAGATTAATGCCTTACCAAAGTCCACTTGCGCATCGACTTGGTTTAGAACCCAGGACCTCCCGGTTACGAGACCACTGCTCTACCACAGAGCCATTGTGTCTCCTTCTAATAGTTATGGAAACCTAAACAATATCAACTTCCTGATTTAGGCTCTAAATAAATGATAAAAATAAATGCAATCATTATTTTAGTGCATTTAAGCCTTTGATTCAGAATATTAATAGCCAAAGTGACTTCAAAGCTTCAATCACACAACTGGTCTGACGTCACTATGATTCAGAGCTTATTTGCCTTTTCCTTGTACAAGGAAACTTGCAATCCCCCAAGATCTTGATTTCTCTTTTCAAATGAACACTCAGAACCTCAATTATTACAAATTCATATGTTTTTGTAATATTCATATCAAATAGCATTGCAAATTTTTCGAAAATCGAATCGCAATCAGGTCATATATTTTGTGGTAGGCTTAAGTTCAGACATTCAGAAATATTTTTTAAAATCTGAAGATGTCAAAATATAGTATTGGTGGTATATGAAAATGCAGCAGGTTGTGTAGGATTCGTTTTGAAATTTGTTATACGTTTCAGTTCTTTATATAAAAACAGAAATGAATGTACATATTTATTTATAAAAATATAAATGTCAAAGGTCAACAGTATATATTGCTTTGTCCGAAGATTTATTTGTCTGTGTAAAAGTTTTGGTGATTGGAGGATGTTTGAGAGTGATATTTAAAACTTAATGGTAATGCAAAGTTTTGGGAAATTT